ATCAGAAACACTAGCCCAAGTATATCAAGACATGCACAGCTGAGCCTACAGCATATCTTTGTGGTTTTGTCGAGGAAGGCAGTTATAAACGTGTTTAAGAACTATTAATGCTTTATTTTATTTAAAAAACAACCTCGTACATCTACACTCAGACTGCATGGGGCTTTGAGCAACCTGATCTAGCTGTAGGTGCCTGTGTTCAGTGCAGGGGAATTGGATTAGACGACCTCTAAACGCCCCTTCCAACTCAAATGATTCTGTGATTCCCACTAACTTTCAATTTAATTTTAGAAGCTCTGCTTGTCTTTTCCTGTGTTTACGCAAACAAGGCAATCAGCAACAGCCCACACCAACACTGGGGATTCTCAGTGCATCACAGGCTGTTTCCTGCCCCTCTGCTCATGCAGAATCAATTTGCATTTCTGTGCACAGTAGGAGCACTGGAAAGATGAATTTCTTCAAGCCGCTCTATGGATTATTTTTTCCTTTCCTGAGACATTGCTTCTGTTTACTGAATAATCTTGCTTAATGTTTACTGAATAATCTATCTAATTTTCCACTAACAAACTAGGCCCCAAGCCTAAGGAGGTTTCAATATGTGCTTAGCTTGGAACGTGCCAGCAGATTCATAGGAAAATAAAAACATACATATAATGCCTCTTGAGATCAAGTATCTGACTGCAAACATCTTTATACAAACATCTTTAAAATCCAATCTTTCTCCGAACTGGGACAGAAGTGAATCAAAATTAGAAGCCTCTCAAAATACATTCTGACATCACATCAAATAACTGTGCTAAAACCATGTAGTTTCACTTAATGAGCTACTGAAAGTGTACAAGCGCACACATCTTGCCCACACTGGTTTAAGACATCCTTACTAATAACCCAGGTTGATGGGAAAGCCTGAGGATGAAACAAAAAGCTGAGAAGTTTGGTTTCGTTCACAAAAGTTGTTAAAAAAAACAACTATTTTTTTCTGTTCTGGAATAAAAAAAAACTTTGCTGTCGAATTGGACAAGACCACTCTGAAAAAGTAATTTCTCCCCACCACAGAGCTGCATATCATCACAGAATACTTGCTTTCAGATTAATTCTGGAATCTTACCTTTTTCTTTGAAAGTACATGGGTTTTTTTCTGTGCATGTGAAGAAACAAAGCCATGTTACAGAATTCTTTGTGCAAAGCATAATACAGGCGTTACAGATAACAGGTGTCAGATTTGTTCAGCTCTGTAACAAGAGGTGTGGTTCTACACCTTCCCGAAGAAGCTTTAAGACATCAATTAAATGTCTTCTCAGACTTAGGGAAGGTTAATCAAATGAAATATTAAATTAATTTTAAAAATACAAAGCTAGACTTAAGAGTGAAGTGGAAAAGGCATTCGTGTTTCTCTTCCTATTTAGTGATGAAATATCTGATTTACTTGAAAGATATTAGTGTTATTTTTGCAGTTTTGACTAATGGGATAGATTCTGACTCCATTCAATGGTTATTTTTATTTCCTCAATATATTAATTACTAAAACCCATTTCCTACACAAGTAAAATTAAAGGTAAACTTCGCTTCCTGAAAGCCTAGAATTCCCAATTCTAAACGTTCTGAAGCTATCTTTTGTAGGAAGTAATGTGCAGAATTGCTGAAACTTAATGGGAAAGGAGAAAGAAGATCGTAACAGAACTACATACCTCCAAAAGCAGCACTGCCTTCTTGCCAGAGAAATGACTACCATGCATTGCAATTTGTGCAGAAATCAATACTACGTTTGTATTTGCTGGCTGGTAAAACATTTTCAGTCATTGCTATGCAAACACAGAAATGTTCAGCTGTTATTAGTTCCAAGTTTTAAAAGTAATATGCACATATTTTTTTCCTTCAAATGTGTAATGACCACTTAAGCAATGCTCATCACATGAGCTCTGTGTCTTGCTACTCTGAAGATAAGAATACTGCAGAATTCTATAGAGACCGATATGTCAATTAAAAAATAAAAATAAAAAAAAAAAAATCACACTGTGATCTCAAAAAGATTTTAAAAACTTTAAAATTAAATCCATAATCCCATTAGTTTTCTCCATTCTACAGAAAAAAGCCTTGCCAGCAAGTGGAGCAGTGAGAGGATGCAAACCTAGCCAAAGCGCAGTTAACTCATGAACAGATAAATGAAACAGTTTGCTTGCAACACTAAGGGCTGGGATCCAGCAACCTATGTCCCAAACGATAAAGAAAGAATCAAACATTTTTGAAGCATAAAGAGTGGCTTTCCTGTCTCTGCACGTAAATAGCATTTCCACACAGCACCCTCCCCATCATTTATCATCAGTAGTTCTGCCCTTATCTCCAGGCATATTCTCCCCATTTACACTCTATTTCCAGTTTGCCCAGGGTTAGCAAGAAAATGCAGGATCCTAATTCTGAAAAAGTTGAAATATATACATTTTTAAACATAAAAGCAGTGTGTTTCCTCAGAAACAATCTACAGAAACAGAAATAGAATAGCATTCAACTTGGAATGCATTTGTGACGTTTTTACTACAGATTCTACAATTGTGAATTCGTTTAAATCTGAATACAAGGCCTGAGTTTTATATAATGACAAATTTACACAGAACAGTAAAAAGAAGGAGGAAAAAAATAACCATTAAGTGAAACAGCAAGAAATTACACATGATAAAAATGTGAATGAGTCACAAAAAGGAAGGAAACAGATGCACACACCATAATATCTTCAACTTCAGCTATGGTATCTCACCGGTCAGAACAAGTACAAGGTCATTATAAAGCTGCAACAGTTAGCAAGGGAACAAGAGGTGCATTGTTTGGTGTTCAGTTCTGGAGTGGGGAGGAGGGGTTACAGAGGCTGAAGAGATGAAAAGCATTTTCTGTAATCCAAAGAATGCAGCAAAATTCAAGGATCCCAGTGATAACACTGTCATCATTTTTTTTTTTTTCCTGTAAGGACTCAATCCAAAGACAGGATGAAAGGTGTATGTGCAGTAAACTGAAACACACGAGAGAAGCAATGAAAATGAGAGCTGCAACACATTTCATTTGAAATTATTTCTCCTCTCAATGAGAATTTCCCCAAAAGTCAGAGGAAAAGCACTCTGAGTCAGAGCTCCTTTTACACAGTGTCCAGGAACTTGTTCTACCTCTTCACTCTTTTCAGTAGATTAGCTGAACAGACTGGAACAGAGAAAAAAGAATACTAAAAGAGATCAATGAACAAGATATTTTCTGATTCGTGAACCAGGACTTTCTGATGGAAACAAAATTCCACCCTGATTTACATGGCAGGAAGATAGATCTAGGGGTACTTCATCCAGAATTTTTGAGTCCATACAGTAGAAACACCTCTTAACTCGGGAGGGTCAAAGACACCTGCACTGTGTACTCCTGCACAATGTAAGTCACAAATCACTCAGTAGTTACTCAGATTTGCAGGACACAAGTGAAGTCTGAATGCTTAAACACACAGAAAACGTGGCGCTGATGCTTATTAACAACAAGAAATTGAGCTGTTTTACATGACATGCACAAAGAAATACAAAGTGAGAAACTAATTCATTTGGAAGAACACATCTCTCATCATCCTTATCATCCTCCTCGAAAAAACTTCCACTTCTTTTACAATCTGAGATGAGGGAACCAAACCACAGAAACTATACAAAATGAGTCAACTACAGATTTATATGGGGGTAGAAAGCTTTTTTTCTAACCTTTATGTTTCAACTGACACTGAATAAAAGTGATATTTTTTTTTTTTAAGAACAAAGATCTATTTGACTCCATGATTTCAGGAGAAAAGTGCTTTAATAAATTGCATCCTAACAGCTGTTTCTTTGTCTTACATCCTAAAACAGACAGCAAACTGAAGTAACAGTAAATTACAATAGTGATGCTTATGAGGTAAAACTATTGGTTTACTCCTAAGAAGTAAGGTACACAAGTAACTTCCCCATGTGACAATGGGCAAGCATCATCTTGATGAAATTTCTGCATGCCCATATATCCTGCTGTGGTACAATAATGTAACTCAAAGAGTATAGCTTGCATGCCTCATTGTGAAGTCACAGATAAAGGAGTGATACTCCAGTTATCTGGCAGCTAGCCAGGGACTTCCTCCACTGAAAGGAATTTACTCAGTAGCACTCACAACAAACGCATAGACAAATTTAACTATGTTCCGTTCACAGAATGTAGAACATAGAACATAGAATGTAGTGAGTCTCCCATATTTGCTTCACCATCTTAATTTACAGCACAGAACAGAGGATTCAAACCAATGTGAATAATAATTGCCAGTGCATAATCTGACAGTATATATTTGTATAGCATTCATTTAATTCAAAGTTTCTACTGTGTCAAGAATTAATCACATTGTCATAAAAATCATCTGGTACTACCTTCTTTTCTTGTCATCTCTTCTGGATTTTTGGCAATATCTCAATTGCCAAACTGAGGATATCTCCTTACATCCAGCATTATATTTTAAACACACATACACACATCACCTGCACGAAGAGGCAGCTGCAGTGTGCTGTCTCAAAACCTACATACAGCAAGATGCTGACTGCCTAACAAGAGGCCACCAAGGAGCTGTTGCTGACAGAGAGCTGTCCAAGAAGGTCTGACAACTAGGAGCCAGTGACAAGAGTCTCCTCTCATTCAGGGCCCTCTCCTCAGAGGCAGGCTGGCATCAGGTCTTCTCCACTCACAGGTGGAGAGGAAATACATATGAGAATCACATCATCATATGAATAGTAAACTTAGCAGGACCATGACAGGCATGCTCCAGAACACAACTACCTTGAGAAAGCAAATGTTGCACAGAACAGGGGAGCTGGGATCTTGCTCAGATGTCTAACTTGAGGAAGTAAGTGATGTCAGTATATCCACACACACTTTTAAGCTCTAGGGTTCTTGGTGTGCTTTATGTACAAACATTTTCAGGAAGGAGAAGGAAAACTCTTTATTTGAAATTTGTCATAACTTCTTACCTGCAAGTGAAGACAGATGGAGATATCTGGTTATGCAGAGGACTTAGTGCAATCTGCTGCTTCAGGCATAAGGGCCAGCTCTGCTGACAAGGTCACTTGCTGAAAAAAATGAAAAGAAAAAAGAAATGTTATAAATTAGTAAAACTATCTCAAGAGTGAAGCTATAGTTCTCCCCTCTTCCCTTTACTGCTTTTGAAACAAGTGCTTCCCCAGCAAGGGTGGACAGATTAAGAAAAAAGTAACGTAACAGCTACATAAAACTAGAATTTCTTTTTTTTCAAATAGATTAAAAGGAACACAGAGTATTGTATTTAATTTGCTACTTTTTTTTTTTTTTAATCAGGTGTGACATCTTCCTGCTATAAATAACTAAATGTGGTAAACAGCATTTCATCAGCTTTCCAGAACGTTATGAAATACCGAACACTACACCAGGTAGTCATGAGCATCTGCCACTGCTATATTGTAAATATAAGAGATTGTGAAATAATCTTCTTTCCTAATTTTCTTCTTCAAGAAAATAATCCTCAAATTGGAAGTCTTCCAGATACAAAAACCCCTGTGTGCATACAGACTGTACGAACTGCATACACTGCCTCCCTTGTAGTGGTAGATCTCAGTTAACATATGCATACATAAGGAATCAAACAAAGTAGGCAAAAGGTAACAAATCCTGAGCAGCTGACTAAGACTAATATTAATCAGCTTGCAAGGGCTGCTTACTACAATTATGTTTAACAGCATGATGGTGCCAGGCCTACAAACATTGCTTAATACTATGCCATAGCCAGGGAGAACGTGTGAAAAGTGGTCATTTTTAAACCTCTGTAGAAGAGTTTCTGAATAATACTTCAATTGAACATATATGTTATATTGAATGCTAATTAGAAACTTCACTCTGACAGCAGTGTATATTAGCTCTAAAGTAGAGAAGCTTCCCTTGCATCTTTTAGCCTGTCCTCTTCCACTGCTGTGAGTCACCAAATACTGCCAAAGCAAACTGTGTTTCCCCTAGTACTTGCCATAGATTCAATAACCAGCAACTCCAGCATAAGCATGTTGTAAATGGCCAGAAAACAACAGGAAAAAACCTCTTAAAGATTTAGAAAGGAAAGACTGGTATATTGTAATACTAGACTACAAGTGCAATGCACTGAAGCCTTCCGGGAGTAATTACTGCTCCCACCATGGCCCAAAATTTCTAAATAGGATGTTCAGGACCTCCAGAGATTTAAGGCACACGTACAGCCTGAATACTTATCTTTCATTCACATAGCAATATTCACTGAATTCTGCATAGCTGCAATGTTTTTGTCAAGTGATGTCCAGTGCTTTCCAGATTCTGCAAACCCACAAACAATTGCTAATGCTTCACATGAACTTTTCATTTCAGTTCTGAAGTGATCGTAAGTGCTTTTTGGTGACTTTATGCTTCTCAGCAGAGAAACTCTACTTTCACACAAGGAAGAGCTTGGTTAGCATCCTTAGCATAGTTGCTAGCATTTACATTCCAGAACATTGCTTTGAATTTTCCACTCAGTTTTTTTCGCCAAGTACTCATAACTAGAATCAAACTGTCACAGATAAGGCTGAACATCCAAATCATCACATCTGGTTGAATCACAAGTATCTAAGCTTCAGTTACTTACTGAACTCCATATACACATTAGATTATAATAAACCTGACTGTAGAACAGAGACATACTTGCCTGAATTTTGCTGAGGAAGGGAAGAGGAAAGAGGAGAGATAAGAGTGGAAAGAAAAGGAATAGCATCTCACCCCAAACAGAGAGCCCAGCTTTGAGATGGTAAAGTTGTCCTCACCAGTGCCAACTGATCAACTGCCAAAGATACCAGAAGCAAGCATTTCAATTGCTGTTCCTTGCAAACTACTCGAGAATATCTCAAACAAAAGGATAAGAGCAGTGGGTTTTTGCCCTGAGAGTTGAGCCACTGTGATGCAGATCCGGCAGCAGGGTCTGATATTCCACTCAAACAGAGACCTATTATCTTTAGCTCTGCTGAAGCACTAAAGCTCTTCTTAGACCACTTTACAAACTGAGTGCAAAGGAGTAAGGATAAGAGCCACATTGTGTCCTTAGGGACCCCTATTAAATCAGATTCTCAACATCAGCCACTTCCTCCTTGTTTTCCTCAAGCCATATGGCTTCCTGACAAAATCTCTGCAAACAATAAATCCATTAATCAAGCCACTGTTGGAGGAAAAGATGTTTTTTATTCCCTTTATCAGTCCAGACATCTTAGCAGAGAAGTTTTATGTATTTTAGTCAGAAAAAAAAAGAGGGCCTATTGAAGTCCTAGGGAAAATATTAAAAGTATTCTTGTGCTCACGCTACAGACTTGTAGTTTGGAACCTTAAATCAAGTACTTACTTGCAACAGATCCTAACTTGTTAAAAGATGTAAAAAGAAGCAGGAAAAAAAAGATGCACGTCAGTTGAGCTAACAAGAAAAGCATCCAGTCTCATTAAATATAAGAGCAGGGATTCAATATGAACCACTGACCAGATTCCCTAGCATACAGGGTGAAAAAACAATATATTTTTTTTCAATCAGCAGAAGTAGGTAGGCATTAAAAGTCATATTTTATTCCTGCTGTTTGCTAAGTAGATGCATGCGCACAAATGCCAGAAGTAGCTCACAGGTATCTAACAGGAACATCTTCCGATGAGAGATGCTACAACATAGGGCTTTGCAAGAGGTCAGCTTATTTATCAAGGTGAATCAACATGACCAATTCCAACAGGATACATAAAACATCTCCAGATTGGTAAAATCGCATAGATGATAACGTTATTCTCAGATCAAGAGAAAAACACACACTGCACATGCAAGGAACTCAATGATAGGGAGAAAGCATAAAAACAGTACGATTTCTAGCTCTTTTAAGTGGGAAAACTCTGTTTCTTGCAGGTGAGAAGGTCTCCCTCTCAGGCGAAATAGGGGAGAAGAGTTGGAAAACAACATAAAGAAAACTAAGCACAATCATTGCTTCACCAAACTGAACAAACTTGAGACTCTGCTTCAGTTTAGGGATTGGAAGTATGCAAGCCTTAAACTGCAGTTTCAGTTCTGTTTTATATATATATACATATATACATATATATATATACACACACACACACATATATATACATGTGTGTATGAGTATATATGTAAACACTGTTGGGCAAGTACAAGGGCGGCTCTCAAATTAATACCTCCCACTTTGTGATGTTGCCCCACACCAACAGATGTTGCCGTTATGGCAGTAGAGGCTGAACCTTCCCAACAATATCCCATCAAATTTTGTCGCCACGTGACAGATGGCAGCAGAGGGGCAGTCTGACAAAACAGTATCTGACACGGAAGTGCGGATGAAACAATCATATGGAGTTGAATGAATTTAATTCCCCCGTGCTAAAAAAAATGGTACTCATCAACACTCATTAACGCTTGCTGAAGTTTATGGAGACCAAACAGTGAGGTGGTGGGTTGAGTGCTGCTGGTGCAGATCTTGATGAGCTCAGCATGCAGGCTCTTGTACGTCTCCCAATAAAAAGGCATAGGTAAACGGTAGTGACTCTGTTGAAAAATAGCATTTTGTAGTTGAGAATTTGCACTATAAACAGCGTTATTATGCTTTTTGTATCTGTTAGAGTTTCCATGGAAATAATAGGAAGCGTTACTTTCAGAGTGACCTACGTGTATAATGCAAATATGTGATAAAGCATTTCCTTTCCATCTACTCAATGGGCTCAAAGAGGGTAAGAAGCTGAGAATTCAAAAGCATAGAAGAGATGACAGAGGAAACAAAGACCTAATTTTCTTTACTTGTATTAACAACTTTTGAGTAGAGCATTCTTGTATTCTCAGATGTCATTGAGACACATGCAGACTCTGCTATCCCTGGCTGTCCCAAGCAACTATTTGCATTACACCTTGGAGCCTGCCCAGCAAGAAGAAAAGAGATTTCCTAGTGATGATGGAAGAAAAGAGAACCAAAGATGTCATCTAACTGAATATATGACTGCATGCATGAGCAAGGAGCTCATAAAAGAAGAAAGTCTACAGAACGTGGAAAAGGAGTCTTGACACATGCGAGAAATATAGGAACATTGCCAGGTCATGCAGGGACACAACAAGGAAGGCTAAGGCACACTTGGAGTTAAATCTGATGAGGAAGGTCAAAGACAACAAGAAAGACTTCTTTAAGCACGTCAATAGCAAAAGGAAGGTTCAGGAATGCTGAATGAGGTGGGTGCCCCGGTAACGGTAACGGAGGACACTGAAAAGGTAGAGTTAATGAATGCCTCCTTTGCTTCAGTCTTTACTTCTAAGACTGCCTCCTAAGAATCCCAGACCCTGGAGATAAGAGGGAGTTTAGGGAAAGGAAAATTTCCCCTTGGTCAGGGACAATCTGCTCAGAGATCATTTAGGCAAATTCTCTGCACACAAATCCAATGGGATGCACCCATGAGGACTGAGGGAGCTGGCAGAAGTGACTGCCTAGCCTCTATCCTCTTTAAGAGGTCATGGAAAACAGGAGAGGTGCCTGAGGACTGGAAAAAAGCTGATGTTGTTCCATCTTCAGAAAGTTAGAAGGAGGAGGATCCAGGAAACTACAGACAAGTCAACCTCATTTCTGTCCCTTGGAAGGTGATGGAATGGCTTATTCTGGATATCATCCCTCAGCAAATGGAAGAGAAGGTCATCAGAATGCATTCATCAATGGGAAATCACGCTTGTCCAACCAAGTAGCCTTGTATGACGTCATGGCAAGCTGGGTAGATGAGGGGAGAGCAGTGGATATTGTCTTACGTTGACTTCAGCAAGGCTTTTGACACTGTATCCCATAACATCCTCATAGGTAAGCTAAGGAAGTGTGGGGCAGACACGTGCAGTGAGGTGGACTGAGAATAAGCAGGGCTCAGAAGATTGTGATCAGTGGTGCAGTATAGTTGAAGGCCTGCAGCTAGTGGTATTCCCCAAAGACTGGTACTGGGTCTGGTCTTGCTCAGCATCTTCATCAGTGATCCGAATGAAGGGATAGAGAGCACCCTCAGCAAATTTCCTGATAATACGAAGCTGGTAGGAGTG